TGTATGGAGGAGTAGTACATGCTGTGCCGACCCTCGATAGGGATAAGGGCAGGTTGATGATGAATAAGCTATCGTAAATAAATTCTTAAAGAAACCTTGGCTACGGCTGTGTTGTTGGAGTCCTCAATAGAATAGATCGCCCATAGGCCGTTGTCATCAGCACTGAAGTCAACCTAAAATATAAGAATAGATAATAAAATCATTTACCCATTGGTTATAAGTTCTGTAATTACTACATCGTTTGTATATGTCTTTTCAATTATCTCGGCGGCTCAATGTCTGTTCCACTGCGCAATACTCTCCTCACGCACCCCCGTACCTCGCTAAATCTTACTTTGTGAACCGAGCCGCCAAGATATCTAATTACCTCTATACCTGGTTATGCTGTGCGGTGTAGAGGCGACCGTCTGCATGCGGTAGGTGCACAGACTTGATGCGGCTCTGCGTAAGGTCGTAACGAATGATGTCACCAGGATGACCTGACTCATTCGCTTGGTAGAAAAACGACCCGCTATATACGATGTGACCGTTACCCTGGTAATAAAGATATTTTAATATCCAAGGAAAAAATCAGACTTATCGTGGGTTTCTGTTTTATACAGAGTTTTTGGTCTCAGAAACCCACGGTAACACTTTATCTACAGAGCCACACGCCTACAACTGTATACGTTGAGTATTTTAAGGTGATTTTGCAAGGCTAACCTTCGTGATTCACACTAGGACTTTGGTAGTTCTTTTGCGACTGATTGAAAAAATTTTACATGATCAGTTTTGGTCAAGTTTCTTGATTCGAACAAAATCGTATCTTGATTAAAGAGCCATAAAATATTATAAAAGAAACAGAATAACTAGTAATATAACAAGAGATGTCGTACAAAGAACGGTTTCTGCAGCTTGTGGTACTCATCTACATGGTCAGCTTTGAAGCTGGCTTTAGTGCGATATTCTCGTAGCCGCTCCACGTCGCTCTCCTGTGTCGTCCACAGCTTTTCTCTCTACAATAATAAAAGAGTTAACAAGTACTTCAGTCCTACAAAACTCAACAGATGGCGTTAGTAGTTCATAATTTCGGAACCGTTATTTAAACTTTTATTAGTACCTGTGTTTCTGTAGCGTTGGAATCTCTCAGCCATGCTCCAAACAGTTCGTCTTTGTATCGATGATATACCGGCTTGCCGATCGCGTAGAGCTGGCAGTCTAGAAAGAACAACACATTTTTAAAAGTATACAAAATAGACCAGAGTAAGGTTAGGTTATGTTAGTTACTTTTTAGGTTATACCTGTATTTAACAATCTAACAGCCACTTTATTCTGGTAAGAAGAATCCTTATAACTTTGTTATCATCATCTCATAGATCCTGTACAACTTACTGGTGTTCCTTCTTGGCTTGAAGCCGGCAGTGGCGTTCATCGTGGAGATAAGAAGATTGGCGCGGTGGCAGCTCGGACAAGCTGGGCAGTGGCGCACCTGGCATAACTCTTCGTACGAGGTAAACGGTGGTGGACGGGATCCAAACTCCATTGGTTGCTCCACTATGTTGTTAGTGTTCGGACCGGGGTCTGAAATAACATAAACTTTCTCGTCATCTTAATCTCGGAATTTTGGTCTACTAGTGTGGTCTACTGCGCTCGCTAAAATAATGAATATATACATATTGTTGAATAGAGAAAAAGATGGGATCGAAATAGAACTTAATAAACCTAGTCCTCATACTAAATGCTAATAAATGTGTCTAATTAAGACCCAAATGCCCTTGCTATACTTACACATTAAACGAATGTGACCTTTAACAGTCTGATTATTAAGTTCATTCTTGGCTACGCAGCTATACTGTCTGAGATCATGGTCCCTTACACCAGGGACCTCGAGTCGCATCACCCATCGCCAGGGATCTCCTGTTGTCGCCACCTCAGTCCGGTACCTCGAACCTTCGAGAGTGACGCCATCGACTTCCCATGCGAGTACTGGTTCTGGCCATGCTTGAATCTAGAATTTTTTGGATGGACTAAGTATAAAAATACCCTATTAGTCTTCTATAAAGATATATGTTATATGAACTTACCTCACATTCAATCTTCGCTGTCTTATTAAATACGTAGACAATATTATTAGGCACACGAATGTATGGACTGACTGAAAATCAAAGAATAAAATAAAGTTCTTTGTTATGTTTGGTTCTAGAACTTATTGGTATAATACTTACAATGTATTTCAACATCTGTGGTCTGGTTGGCAGAAGGCAGCATACCATTGTTTGCCATGCAGACATAGGTGCCGGTGTGCCAGCGAGATACATTGGGGATGTTCAGCAGGTGGCCATTGACAGAAGCATCACGCCATGGACCCTGAGAGAAGACCATACAAAATGGATAGTTACAGAGTTTTCTGTAGAGTAAATTAATGCACTTTCATCTGTTTTATGTTAAAAACCTGAATGATAGCATTGCCGTCGACTCTTCGCCACTCAATAGTCGGCTCAGGTCGTCCCATTGGATTGCAACTGATGCGAAGAGTGTCACCTTCTCTGACTATCACACGCGTATGCTCCTCTGAGAATCAAAATAATTTCAGTATAGTAGGATATATTCATAATTCATTCTCTCTCATCTCTTTCTTGTAAAAAAATAGGCGACTTACAAAGGACTTACGTGAGAACGTAGGTGGGATAAAGAGTTCCTTTTCTTTAGTATAGTTGTATATGGAGAGGCCAGGCCTACCCGGCAAGCCGTCGCGGCCGTCGTTACCTCGTTGCCCTTTAGGTCCTATTGGACCTCGGTCGCCTTTAGGTCCACGCACACCTTGGGGTCCGATGGCTCCAGGTTTTCCTGTCAATTAGATTTATAATAATATTTATATTTCTGATTATAAAATCTTGTATTTGGACTTTAATAACCCACGTACCATCTTTTCCATCCTTTCCGTTTTTCCCAGGGCTACCGTCTTTGCCCGGCATTCCATCTCTCCCGTCTCTGCCGGGCGCGCCGTCCGCTCCGTTCCTGCCCGACAGACCGTCCAGACCCGGTTCCCCTGGTACGCCATCTCTTCCGTCTAGACCGGGGTTGCCAGGGAAACCGCGTTCACCTGCCGATATCAGCTAACTTTGAGAATTTACTTTTCTAGAACGAATGGTTCTTTCTTACAAGTATTAAAAAGTAGCAAAAGTAAGATTACGAAGTAGTATATACCTTTAACTCCCGGTGGACCCACTGGCCCTCGGTGGCCAATAGGCCCTTTGGGACCTGGAACGCCTGGCGGGCAGTAATCCTGTGTTGCTTTACAAAAACCTTGTACCACCTTATACTGGAAGAACCATAATAAGAAATTTTATCGTATATTTTTGGGCTATCGGGTGTCGATAGAGACAAAGTGACTTTTCATAGTTACATACCGGGACTCTGGAGTAGCTAGTCAGCCAGACCCAGGAGTCCCCGCCAGGCGCGGGGCCTTTCGCCCCCGTCCGCTTCATCTCCGCCGCGTCTTTCTCCTCCAGCTCTGTTCGCATCTTAGGGTTGAAGAACTCCACATGAGGAGCCACCGTATTTTCCTCTTGGACCACTGACGCTTTCTGTTTGTTGGAAAGTATCAAAGTATCTAGTTTGAAGTTATAATCAATTTTAAAGTTAACTATCTGGAGTACGGTTCCGATAGAGGTAACATTTTCAAATATTGGTTATGATTTAAAAAAAATATATATTTGTATTGAGTTAATTTGTAGTTACTGCAAGTAGTCAACCTCTTATCACTTGAAAGGCATTCTTGCAGGCTATTATAAAATTCTACTTATAATTTTTATAAAATGACTATTGATAAAATAAAAGGTAACATACCAGCATTGCTTCTCTCTTTAATCTATGCTCCTTGGTGACTCCTATTTCTGAAATGTACTTTTCTATACGTTTCTCCAATGAAGCTTTTAAATTATCAATTGCGTTATCATCGATTATTTTATCTTTAACATCAGTTTCAACAAACTTATACGTATGCATTAGTAGAGAGAGGATACCACAGAAAGTTGCAAACAGAGACAGTCTTCTACAACATCTGGATTCATCTGTTAATTTACGTTTTGTGTTAGGTGGCATGATTGCATCTTTCACTTTAACCACATCAATAACATTCACTTCACAATAAACTACGGTAGCATTTTTTAGATTATATTCTGGTTTAACATAACTAGGATTTGAAGATAAACTATTTGTTTTAAACTCTCAGTTATCTGTTCCGTTCAACGCGATCCTTCCTGTCAGCTATTCAACTGGCCGATAACTAACAATTGTGAGGGCCCATTGCTCCCGCGTTTAATCAAACAATCGACAGTCGACCCGCACGTGTTATTGCTGGAATAAAAATAAATACCACATGTGGCGAGTAAAAACGCATTTAAACACGTGTTAAGATCTAGAGTACGGCATTATTTTGCCTAATCTTATTTTGGTAAATAGTCTTTTCTGAAAGCCTTTATCTAACTTACAGAAATTGTATAATTTCCGCCCGAGCAGAATTAAATTTTTTTTAATAAGTAGCCTATTTGTTTTTCCAGGATATGTTCTACATCTAGGCGAAATTTCAGCGAGATATATGCACCCATACTGAAGATACCTTCTAACAAACATATATCCATCCATCCCTCCAAACATTCGCATGTATAATATTAGTAAGATGAAGAAATTGTTTAGAAACTCCATCCATTAACAACCACTATAACAACGATGTTTGGTTTTTGATAGAATTTTGGATCTTAACATGAACATCAGCTAAACGCGTATTGAAGCGTATCAAAAAAAAATATTCATGAGTTCGCGCGACATAATTATGTCGTAACTTTAATTTTTTTCACAGATTGAGGTCATAGACACATTTCAATTTGAAACACATAATACAACAGTTAAGATTAAAAATATTATTTTCTGCGAAGAAAATCTTAGTCAGTTCTTGGCAACCCTCACTGATCCATGTCGGTTTTGCGCATGCGTTGATAAATATGTCAGGGCCATGACATGGCATGGTTGCAAGGTCATAGATGTTTAGTGTACTACTGTCAGACAGTGAAATTGATCCTTTGAAGAACAACCTCTTTGGTGCTAACGTTTTTGCATTCTGAAATGGATTTAGTTCCACCCTTGGCGTCAGTACATGGTTCGTAAAATTATTATATTATATTACCTTTAGTTTGTGTTATTGGATTTCGTTTTGTTATTAATTTATAGATTTGATAGTCAAATTATAATTTGATTACTTCATATTTAATGTTTTTGTTGTTTATTATTTTAATCTGTTTTTAAAATATTATTTGCATTTTATAAGAGTTGTAAGAACTGTTGCGTTAAATAAATAACAGTTTTTTTTTGTGAAAACAATCGACCATTGTGTGTATATACGTAAATTGAAAGGAATATTGGCTATGAAAAGCTTATTTGGAGCCATATTTCTATTATTATTTGTATTGCTAAGATCTTTGTTCTTATAACACAAAGTTTGGTAGTAGTATCTTGCAAATATTATAAATGCGGTTTTTTAGATGTATATATATATTGTCTGGAAGAACACATAGGCTACTAATTAAGATTTTTTAATTTCGCGCTGACGTAGTCGCGGGCGAATACTATATTAATGTTAAACTTTCTTTAGCCTGTAGCGTTCAGCCACTGGATGACTACGAATCCCCAAGAGCACCACTTCGTCGACAAGTATCCTTGGATGAAGAGCGTCCGGATGACTGCCAGGGTCACTGGCGAGGAAATTACATCCAGGGAGATGACCAGGAACGGGGTGTGAGGTTGTTTAGAGCTTTGTTGCTGCAGCATTTGAGGCTCGAGGAGCTGAGGCCCCCGCCCTGCATGATGGTGCCGGCAAAACCTGATCACAGGTAGGACAAGATTGGATACTGTTGTTACGCTTTTTATTTTACTTTTAAGAAAGAAAATGATTATTATTGTCTCATGCGCCTCATAACCCTATGTAAGCTTTATCTATGGACAATATAAGGAAATATGTAATAAAACATAAATGGATATATTCCAGAGGTTGGTGGATGTACTGGCGAGACTGGAGGTCGCTTGAACGAGCGGCGAAGAGATTCAGAGAGACCAAGGCACGGGCTATCTTGGCCGCGAGAGCTGAACACATACCCTTGCTAAGCTTAGATGAAGTTGCGTTTGAGGATATCATGCAGGAACTCTGCCAGGTAAGAATAATTATCATAAAAATATGAAATATGACTTGATAGTCGTCCCAGAAAAGTTCAACGATAACGATTAGGAAATAAAATTACGTCTCTACATTCGACGATCTCCTTTTTTATCTGTTTTTAAGCGTTGACTTATTCCAGGCGTGTTCGCACGTGGAGAACAGAGCGCTGGTGGTACTGGCGTTTCTCTGCGAGGTGTGCGCGCGCGCAGTCAAGGTGGGGGGTTGGTGCCGCGCGGCGGATTGGGCGGCGAGGCACGTCGCTCAGTGTGCCACACCCTGGGCAAATCGACATGGAGGATGGGTGAGAATTTTACCTAATATAACTGCAATAAACGTGTCAGGCGTACTCTGTCGTGTTAACAATAGATTTAGTCTTTCTCCAGAAAAGGACTTAATGGCTGAATTCTGTGATGTTGTGGTAATTTTTTTTCAGTCTGTACTGTGTTGCTGCTGTTTATTGCTTACTGAAGTATGCCCATTCAATATCTAGTACCTTTTTTTATTCTTACTCCAGAGCGCAGTTGTAGAACGTGCTGGTGGAACTCGTAGAGATGATACAACTCTTATCGCTGGCGCAGCATTTGCAGCTCTATTGGCATTCATATTGTTCTGTCGTCATCGGTTCCGCTATTCAGTACTTTAAATAACCTCTTTGGTTATCTTGGATTTATTAACCCGTTGTACGATGGTGTACTATTACTTGGAGAAAGTTCGAGAGAAGATTGGAAAAGGTGTGAGAAGGTTCTGACGTGTGTCGTATCCTTTTGAATGTATAAAAGGTTTAAATGATGAAGTTAAATGGATTATAATGTGTTTGTCTTTCAATGTTTACTAGTAAAAGATATTTGTATATTTAGCTTTTGATGTTGAACGTGTATTGTAAATTATTGAAAGCAAAAAATATTCTTTATTAGCTATGGTTTTTCTTGCTACTTATATATTTTTACGTACATACGTAATATAATATTTTTTGTGTAAAAAATGTCGTCACGAATTTGAATTGAATTTAAATAACTTAATTATCTTTTTAATCTCTTTATTAATATTTCGGAGAATAAATGTTATTGTTTCGTTTTTTCCAATTAAAATAAAATCGAGAGAAAATGTGTCTTAAGATAAATACGTTATTAATGTTTAGTAAATACATTTTCATTTTGAATATATTTAATAATACATATATAAAGAGATCTATATAGAACAAATAATAAGATTTAGGGATCATATAATATTTTAATTATTACTAAAAGTTATTATATATTAAAATAAGGTATAAAGTATTTAAAACAAAACTTAAATATACAAATAAATCCTCTTTTTAATGACAAGCCAAAGCCAAATAACTTTTTATAACATTTCCTATTATTATTTAGTAACCGTCCACAAGGCTTGTTAAAATAAACAGTATATTAATAAACGTAAGAACATTTAGTTTAAACTCTGAAATTATTCCTTTCATCTTGTTGAAATGTTTTAAAACATAACCATTTTAAATGAATTGTTGCCATTTCATGTTTCCACGTTTCACGACATTTTTAATTAATTCATTTAGCTAAAAGTATCTTGTTTTCATATTTTTTTTTCTCGTTCGTTAAGAAGTCTTGTTAGAATCCTCCACAAGTATAAAAATTTGAATGTACGCGAATGAATAATTATTTAACCTAACGATTGAAAATTTGAACAATATTTTATTACTGTAAAGAGTGAAATAATATTAAAGTTAAATATGAAGATATTTTATAAATACTATTTTTAAGTGGTCTTCATTTTAAAATATAGTCTGTGTTATTTGTTTTATTAATGTAATAAACAAAATAAATTGTGTACGACAACAGAAAAGTGTTTTTTAATTTACTCATCATCATCAGCTCTCTATACGTCCCCACCGAAGGGATCGGAGCCTAACCTAAGTTAAGGGTGATTAGGCCATAGTCAACCACGCTGGCCAAGTGCGGGTTAATTGACTTCATATATATCTTAGAATTTCTTCTTAGATATGTGCAGGTTGCATCACGATGTTTTCTTTCACCGTAAGAATGTCGGATAAATGTACATATGTAAATCGGAAATCGAAAAACACATTGGTACATTTACGGGATTCGAACCCAGGACCTGCTGATTGGAAGTCAAGTGCTTGACCGCTGAGCCGCCGAGATTCACTGATCTTACGATTTTTTCGTTACTGGCTAAAGAAAAAATCGTAAGATTTACATTTTTATATTGGGCCAATAGTTAAATAAATGTATTAAAGCCTTGGTTGATTTAATTTAATTAAATTGCTTCTAGATGTCATTATTATGACGCAAAAATATTGTAACGATATGAATAAGTCAGGTGCTAAATAAGATAAGGGTTCAAAAAAACAATATTGACTATTTTATAATTTTTATTGTAATTTTCCATAATACGGTCGACATTCCTGCCCTGCCGTTCTCCGCAATCCGCAAACTTACTCCAATAGCAGCTAATTAATCAATTCTCTTATAAACATTTGAATCTGATAAACTATTAAAACGCGAATCTATCACATTGTCCAACAATAAATTTTAATCAGGCCATAGGAGAACGTTTTTAAAACCAGATGATAAAACACGTGTTTAAGGTCCCACAATATATGTCAATTTAATGATTTTAATTATTAAAATTCATAGATAATTTATAGTTTTCTGGATTAATATGAATGAGATTATATCAGAATAGACTAACAATTTAATTTGAAGTGTAAAATAATGTTAATGTGAATTTCGAAAATGCCATATGGTCTTAAAAACGCACCCGTCACATTTCAAACGCCAACACAATAATTTCATTTTCAAATTCTACGTAAAATTCATATAATACTGCTAAATTATCATGTGGATCACATTGGATATTGTATTAAATGATGACGTCATCAAATTCTTCCTCAACATTTCCATACTTCATTACAACGTAATGAAAATCCCTAAACTTATCTACATCGTTAAAATTAATAACATTTGTTACTTTTACTTAATCAATAATATCACTATTAACAATCTACGCTGGCATCTCGATTTCGCTAATATCTGGATGGACGCAGGAAACACTTCCTCAATATATTAAGTATTATAACATGAATCTTTTAAACTCTACTAAATCTCAGAATATTTTACTTTATTCGTAACATTTTTAAAATCGAAGACATCTGGAATATTCTCTTAATTTATTTAAGGTATATAGAAATGTATTTTTAGTAAATTTAACAATTTGCTGATGCTTTAAAGTTGTTCAAATTGATCCTGCTTTACAACTGGCCTCCAAATTTGGTCAAATTACACCAATTTTTAAAATATGGAAGCGAAGTATTGAACGCCCTTTAAATATCATGGTAACCTGCAAATATTAACACCTGTTCAGGCTTTGTAGGATCTCAAATTATTCTTAAAAACAATCAATTTCCAATGACTAAACTTTTAGGAACGTATATGACTTTGAATATTGTGCTCCAATAGATATTGGTCTGCGAAAACGAGATGTATCAGCAAAAACAAAACCATTGACTAATCGCATTTCACTTTCCTTGACACGATTGTTTAAAGCTGTCCATGAAGAAATTTAAGAGGCTGAGAATCTTAATAAAATATAAATTATTCTTGGTGTTCATCGTTACGTAATCGTGGCGAAAAAAGTGAAACGTGCTAATTTTTTTTTGTTAAATCTCTTAAACCATTTTCATATTATATTTTTTTTATATAAAAAAACCACCACTCTAGTAACAATTCTACCTGGATATTATATTTTAATTTCGTTTATTAACATTGTTAAATATTTTATGTTAGCTTTAAGCCTAATAACCTAATCTTACACTACGAAGAAGATATAAAGATTATATATTTTTATTTAGTTAAAAGGTGTATCAAATATTTACGACACCGTAATATCAACTTTAATAGATTCTAATAATTTATTAACAAACTTTGAAATATGGAATCTAGCTCGGCTTGTGCTATTTGGTAATAAACAAATGCAATTTTAATGTAACTACGTCGAATGATTTCCCTTCGCGGGTCACGTTCTCCAATAGCACGCACTGGAGACCGATAAGAGCTTAATATCGTCTAAAATTAAGAACAATAATGGAAGGATGATTTATTTATAATATATAATTACATAGTTACTCAAGAGACAGATAAAAATCACTAGTGTATATCGTATGAAACATTTGTTAGCGTATAGAATCGTGTCGAGTAATAGGCGATAGAATATTTTTGGTGCATCCCAATATTTATACATTATATGGGATATAGATTTAAATATAGAGATTTCTAAGACTCCTAGACGAGTTAAGAATATAATGTCAATATTAAAATGAATAATTTAGATCGAAAATTCGTTCGAACCTTAGAATATAGTAAAGAATGGCCACATTTAGATCTTACAGTTCATTTAGTAAGTGTTAATATTGTCTATATAGAATTAGAAGTAGAAGTTACTGTAAGCTATGAAGAATTTGCTAAAGTTGAAGAAGAAGAATATCGAACTGTTTGATCGTCAGTGGCTCTGCTATGCGAACTACAGAAATCTATAATCAAATCCAAGCTTATGAATAAGTTAGAACAAGAGACGAGTATGTTATGAGCGTACACCTTATCACAGTATTTGATGCCTCGATTGCTCAGACATTATCGATATGTCATATTATTTTAATTGATTTCTTTATAGCACTTACGATTGCTCTGCACATGTTATTATTGTGAACAACTCAATGTTTTCATGTTAACATAGTAATGCCAAAATATTTGTTACTTGACACAAATTTTTATCAGTATTTTGCTGAATAATTGTGTCAAAAAGATTTGTTAATGTAGCACCATTATGCTTTTTTTTAACTTCAAATTCGAATATTTACAAATTAATTTCGGACGTATCAAATTTACATTAGACTGTCCCATAATGATTTGCAAAAAACCTTTGACAGTTGGAATATCATTAAGATTAGTCCCAATTTGAAGTTAAAAATCCATCGCTGATTTGAAGAGCCTTTAAAACCAAAAAGCACGTCCTATTTGTCATCCTTGCATATTCACAGGAAATTCGGTCTTTTAACTTTATCGATAGGGTCTAAATTTCTACTGCAATCTATTTACTTTGAGAATTGGTACCCAAGGCCAATCAAAGCTTAACATTTCACATTTGTGCGCTTTCACATGATGATCTTAAATCTTCAATGCCGAAAAACCCATACAGAAATATATTGCTGTCTCAATATTTTCAAAGTGAATGAAAGAGATCACAATATCAGTTCATAAATGGATGTTTCGGCAGAAAATCAGGGTTATTATAATTTGGGAAATGTTTGAAATTAGTCAACAGTTTGAGTTTTTCACAATGTTCTGAAATGTCATTAAGCTTAACAATATAAATACAAACTACGTATACTAGATTATTATTGCTATGTCAAATAGGCGGGTTATTTATGTAAAAATAATGGAGATTAAACAATTGAAGTTTAAAGTAAACAGTTAATGAAAGTAAGTAAAAGTTTTACGAGAGAGTTAGCGAAGGAGAGAAAGAAAACGGACGGTTTATGTAGATGTTTCAGAAGTAACAAGATTTGATTCCAACCCGTACTTAATTAAACCAAAAGAAGTAGAAAAAACAATACAAGTATTATAAGATAATAAAGTAAGGGTATTAGAAGAAATTGGTTTGAAAAGTGTAAGTACTGACAGTGTTATTAGTTTTGTACAAGCTGTGATAAAGTTCTACTTATTAGGACGAGACAAAAATACTGTGCCTACAATTGTAATTGAGTTGTCAATAGATGAAGACGAACACATGAATGTTGAAGATATAGAACAAATAAATTTAACGGCATATCAGAGTTGAGATACAGTAGTTTATCTCGTCCATTATTTATCTATCATTCTGTTTATAAACTTCGATGTATAGGCACTGTAATGCACCACGCGTCATTAACGCTGGCTCTATGTAATTAAAGCGGGACATTTGTCTTAAAATCTTCTATAACTATATTAATATTGCTATCAGATGTATGAGTAACATACTCCACTTTTTATAATCACAAATATAGAGGCTTATTATTTAAGTTCCAGAGAACTCTTAGGCACATTTTATGGAATTGCAAAGGAGCTATTGTAGCACATTTTATCGGCACATTTGCTTTGTTATTTACATACTGGGTTAACACGGAGATATATAAATTTCAGTTGAACTGACACCTAATTATTCATTGTATTAATTGTACTTCGAGGTTTTTAACTACTTTCTAATATTTCTTTATCAATGAGGTAAAATTGAATTCATTTTTAAATGCACATTATTGGAGACGCAACTAAATTGTTGCGATATCTTATTACGTCCTAACATCTAGACATTTAAATGAAAATAATACGTTTGGACTAAAGGTCCTTCGAGACCTATTTTAAATTATAACATACAACCCGATTTGGAAATTCTAAAATCGTTAAATATTTTACAAAAATCAAAATATTTATAAAAATAAAATGCACACTTTCGCTACGGTTTCTTTCAAATTGAATTTGTACAGCAAATATTGCAAAAATTTATAAAAGCGCCATTTTTAATTATGGCAAATATAAATCTACAATCTCCGTTGATGGTAATTCTTTGATAAAGTCATTAAGACTATGATCCAGCTCAGTGACACACATTTCTTTGTTCTTTGAATACTTTAAAGTTAAGGACATTTTATCGTTCACATTAGTCCTAGTATTATCTACAACATTATTTGTGCTTTGAACGTCATTTTCTATTTTTACATAACCGCCTACTCGATGAATATATCTAATATCATAGACTAAGGCAACTTACTTAGTTTAAGAATGATATATACTAAAAATGCAGCCGTCTTATTTGTATGTTTTTAAATTCCAAAAAAATTTTCTCGCTAAATTCAATATTGCTTACAATTGTTATGATACATTCATGAAAGAGATGATATCGTTCGTGCTACTTGAGCAATTAATTTGAATATATGAAGAAACAAAAGTGAGGTTCGTTAATTATAGTGAGATTATGAACCAGGTCACATTTTCGGGAAAGTTCTTAAAATTGTATACTTTAAATAGATTTATAATGATGTTGAATAACGATGATTTCTTGGATTTCGCCAAAATTTAACTATAATCATATTTGTTATGAATTTTCTTTTAAAATTAATAATTAATAGGAATGAATCTTTATTCTCTATATTGGTTATCTCCATTTAATTCACTGTCATAGACAATATACTTGCTTTTTTGTTACTTTCATATTATATCTTTGTATTTATTCCAGATTTGACAATCACTACTCGCTTGGGCAATGGAAGAATCCGTATTCGAGTCCTAAACTGACAGCAACAAAGACGAAGTACAAGAGGAACATTGTGAAACCGAGGCCCTTGTTCATCTTCCATCTGAAGCAGGCTATGCTGAGGATCACGAAGATCAGCATAGCGAACAGTAAGACGATGCTGCAGACCATGCCTTTAGAATTAACCTGCACCGGCTCCCCGTTGATCAGACCGTACAGCAACCAGGGAAGAGGTAACCTGGAAAGTTAAACAAATAACCGTGAGTTGGAGAACAAAATATCCATTAAAAAAAATATTGCTATCCCTGTTTTGTCAAAGATAATGACAGCAATTATGTTTTATACAGAGATTTTAGTCTTAGAAACCCACAGTAAATTAAATACACATTTAAATTTAAGTGTTTGTAACAGTCCACAATTTTTTATTGCACGAATTAGTCGTCTCGCCAGGTACAATACCACGACTATACAGACAGAATACGCTTGAAGTGGAAGTCCGCGTTTCGTCTGATGAGTGCGTGTCTAAGTATAGGGTAAGATTTATTATTTGTCGCAGGCTTTCGCAACATAAATTTTGGTCTTGTTTAGTAACTTAATTTCATTATGACTGTATCTCTAAAAGTAAAGTTTAAGTAAATCGGTTTGGTAGAAAGAAAAATGTCATATTGTATACGCGTATTGAGAACAGGTAATTTCTGTGGTATTTATTAAATAAAATATACGCATCTAAGAGTCAGGTCACGCCCTGTTTATCACGCACTACCCATTTTCACGTAAGTTGGCATTTGTTTGACCCAATATTTGGGCCAAGGCCTATCGGAACGTAGATAAATATCAAAAAGTAAGTTTCCACGAGGCGAGGGCTTGTTTATGGCCGTAAGGTTGTGGCTACCAGTCTTACGAAAGAGGCCGTTGTTGATTAAGTTTTGAAAATGTAACTTTGTAATTGGAAAAAATGTTATTATAAAACTCCTTTTCTTATGTTCAATTGATGCTGTTTTTAATATAAATTGATGGATTTTTAATATTCTAGTCAAATCAATAATAATAGTTTTGTACATAGCTTTTGCGTGAATTTAACATCTTTAAAATTTTTAGTCGACTTCAGAAATTACAATACCAATCCTAGGTTTATAACTTGGCAGAGTTTCGAACCCATTATGATTGTCAAATGGCCAGGAAATATTTGCCGTTGTGAAATAAATCAAAGGCTGCACTTGCAGGGCTTAGTTTTATTTGGTAACTGGGGCGAGACAGAATTCTGTTACAGAATATTGACGCTTATTTCTATATCGTTAAGGTTAAATATGATATTGTTCAATATCGATCGATGAAAAAGTTTAAGCAACATCTTCAAATATAAAAGATTCGTCAGGACAAACTTGCGTTTATTTATTTTAACTAGCAAAGTCCACAGGCTACTTAGTTTTCTTTTAGATGTGCAATTGAGCAATTTTCCTTACCGTCATAATTGCTATTACATTTATGCAGGTGTTAATATATAATAGTAGTGTTAGGTTGAATGTAGAGAAGATCGCAGCCGACATTAATGCCCCTAGCCATGCGGTGAGACACATTCTTAGCATCATACGCATTGAATTAAACGCATTTTTAAAACAAAACCTTAGAGTACAAAGCAAAAGTATTCGAAAAATTTAAATTTTTTATTATATTCCATGTCAAAAATTTATTTATGAACAAAAACTTCCTAATATAAGAAATTTCTGTCGATAACAGTAACGGTTACGTAATTTTTTAAATTTACACGGACTAAAGAAGCGATCGAAGTTTTTTGTTAATTGGAATATTACAACACATTCCATTCATTGCATTTCTTTTCATTTTAGTTGATTCAGTGGAATCTCATTCTAATACATCAAAACAAAAAAATATTTTCGCTATCCATTGCGTTTGTAAAGCTGTCCATAGGAGGCGGTATTGTAATATGGGTCAGCAGAGAAGTATGTATATTTAAATTGTGACAGTTTCGTGTTGGATCCATGCCAGATATTGTTTACGTAGACGTATTGTTGCACTTTATATTATGCTTTATTTAACATATCATCAGCTCACTATACGTCCCCACTGAGGGGCTCGGTGGTGACGTCTCCATAGTCAACCACGCTGGTTAAGTGCGGGTTTGTTGACTTCACACATATCTTTGAATTTCTTCTCAGATATGTGCAGGTTGCATCACGATGTTTTCCTTCACCGTAAGAACGTCGGATAAATGTACATATGTAAATTGCAAATCGAAAAACACATTAGTACAAAGCGAGATTCGAACCCTGCAGATTGTAAGTCGAGTGCTTGACCCCTGAGCTACCGACGCTCTAATAACGACGAACGATGACGATACGAATCTATACCATTGTTAAGGCTAAAGATTTGCTTGTTTGCAGACAAGCTGGCTACGGCGGCGCACCGAATGTCCAAGACGGACCACGTTAAACCGGCACCTAGCCGCGCATCTTTAAAAAATGTATTCAAATCATTGCTTATCGAGAAAGCTCTATATTTCATATGATTTTTTTTTATTGTAAATAATACTCTTAGAACCTGTAATTTAAATATTACCAATAAATTGTATTGCATTGCATTATATAGGCTTTGAAACTATTGAACCGATTTGAAAACTACATTCATTGGTGAGAAGCTATGCTATCCCCGAGTGATAGAGGACATATAATTTAGTAGATTTTTTACAATTTCGCGTGAAGGAAACGTGGTTAACTATTTTTAAATACAGCTGATGAATTCTTTCGTTAATAGTGTGGTGAGATGAATAATAAAAAATGTTCTTGTATTTAGCATGATCCAAATTAGTTAAACGAAAAACTTTACTTTAAAAATTAATACCATTTATGTGACATACGCTTCAAGACAGTATTATAAGTACACACCGTCTGGCTAAATAACTTTAAAGCTTGTGCATACTTAAGGTAACTTATAGCCAAAGTTAGCAAAGTTAAAACTAGAAGTGGCTTAATTCGCGAACGTCACCGCGACTTAAGCAATAAAGTTGTACGCGTTAACTTCTCAATCGAATGAAAGTTGTCAAGTTACATTTTTTCAAGTCTACGTAAGTAACTTTGACGTACTTAATACTTTGTATATAAGGTGTTTAGACTCCATATGTTAGTGTGTACTTTATTTTAAATGTTGAATTTATTAAAATAAATTGATAAAGAACTTTTTGTATATCTTTAATGTCTTATTATATATTTTGGCTTAATTTTTTACCATCTACATTTACATTTTTTAAGCCACTAGCTGTCGCTCGCAACTCCGTCCGTGCGGATTTAAAAAAAACATAAGTTACATATGTGTTCGTCCAGACCATGTTCAATATGTATGCCAAATTTCATCTAGATCCGTTCAGACGTTCTGGAGATACCTTCAAACAAACATCCATCCATTCATCTTAACATTCGCATTTAAAATATAGGGATTCTTTTCCTATAAAAACTTTATCAATCGTTCAAAATAACATAAAATTAGGAGCTAAATAATTGTGATAAATAGTTGAATGAAGCTTGATCTTGGTTTGTATCCGTCCTAACGTGTGGGCGTCTTGAGAACATGATTGCTGAGGTTTTCATGCTTGAGGTCAAGAGGCTGTCGAGTGGTAAGGCCGAGGTCGATTGACAGAGCGAAACGTGGATTGCATTGTATTGTTACGAGCCAAATTACATAGTGTTATAAATGCTATGCTTTCCTTTGTTTCTCTACAATATTCTTTTATTTTTATTTAAAATAATTACTTATAAGTTGTTAAAGTGACTTATTAATTTACATTGAAAGTTTTGACTTTCATTATTACCTAGCTGTCGCCCACGACTCCAGCTGCGTGGTATTAAAAAAAATTAAAAATAGTCTATGTGTTCTTCCAGACTATGTTCATCTATGCTAAATACCAGCGAGATCCATACAGCCGTGATACCTTCAAACAAACATCCATCTAACCAAACATTCGCATTTATAATTGTAGTAAGATTATTCGTATAACACGCGTATCATAAGTAGTAATGAAAAATGCACTAACGAATGTTACAGCCGATCATTATTTTTAAAGTGACAGCGGGGTGTGGTGGGGCGAAGAGGGAGAAGGGAGCGAAGGGGTGAGCGGAGGTGGCGCGGGGGCGCAGGCATGGCTTTAGGGTCTCAGAGCAAGTGCCTCTTTCCGCTTTTGGCTTCCTTCCAAGCGCCATTAAGCCTGCCACATGAAGTCATAACGAATCTTAGATGCCAACGTGATTCTCAAATTATATTGTTTAATTTGCGACTAATTGTACAGTACTAATAATAATGAAAACAGTAAGTTAACTGTAGCCAAATTCGTCACGGAGTCTTGCAGAGTAATGACAAAATCAAGATTTTTTGGTACTTCAGTTTGTAATAATGCCTTTCTTCTTAAGAACCTATTTAGAACCTGAGCCAAAATAGTATCTGAGGATTTTAATGTCAAATTTTTTGATGAATTATGTGGCATATATATAAACAAAATCGTAGTAATAGATATACGTATAGTATGGATACATTGATTAGAGAAACAATCTCATCACTTAGTAGTTATTGGAAAAATCCTTCAGGGCCAAATGCAGTGTTGCGTGTTAGAAGATTGTTAACTTTATTTCTTAACATAATAATTCTTGTTCTATATAACAATAGATTTCCGAAGTTGTAATAAATTAATGTAGCGAGGTAGGCAGCAAGTGGTTCCTCGGTTTTTGGACACGCAACAAACAAATTTACCGTTTAATGGGACCTTTTTATCCTATTTTGATGTCTGTACCTATTTGTAAGGTTTATATATCTTTATGTAGGTTAATATAAGTAGAAAATGGTATTGTTCTTGATTGACATTAATCTATGTTATTTCACCACTTAAAGTTAGTTTCTAAGACCAAAATCTATCTATATCTTTATATATATAATTCTTCTGTGCGTGTGTATGTTACTGAACTTCTTTCAAACGACTGGACAGATTTTGATAAAATTTTTTGTGTGTGTTCAAGGGGATCTGGGAATGGTTTAGATTCACAATTTTCATCAAATATTAACTTCATATTAATTTATTCAAATTAAAGACGTGTAGACAGGACAACGTCTGTCGGGTCCGCTAGTATATATATAAAAATCAATTGCTGTTCGTTAGTCTCGCTAAAACTTGAGAACGGCTGAACGGATTTATTTTATCTTGGTCTTGAAATTTTTGTGGAGATCTAGGGAAGGTTTAAAAGGTAAGAAAAATTCGAATAATTGCCAGGAAATCCTTTAAGTATCTTTTATAATCCCGCGCGAATGGAGTCGCGTGCGACAGCTAGTCTCTGTATAGACTTTAACGTCATCCCTGTCATTATGTTTGACAAAACAGATACATTTCAAACTGATAATTTGGTCTCAGAAACCCACAGTTAATGCTCATGATTCTATTGCAGAATATAAACGAACAAAAAGTTGATTCTTAATGGTGTTCCGTACATTTTATTGGTCCTACTTACCCAACGGTAACATCAAAAATATTGCTGCCAACTGAACTGGATACCGCCATGTCTCCGAAGCCCTTCCTGGCGACGATGACGGAGGTGATGAGATCGGGCACTGACGTCCCCGCGGCGAGGAGAGTAAGGCCCATCACCTCGGGAGGGATTTGCGCCGTCGCCCCCGCGACGTTCGCCCACCACACCATTAAATAAGAGAAGAACGCTATCCAAACTATTGATCCTATAAATGTTATGGGGAACAGATTTTTCCCTGTGGAAAGAAAATAGTATATGTTAGGAAATAGAAAAACACATTAGTACATGGCGGATTCGAACTCAGGACCTGCAGATTACAAGCTAAGTGCTTAAACCCCTGAGTCACCGACGCTCTCTTATCATCTACTAGAATCTTGATATCAAAAGGTGTAGTTATATAATTAAATTACAATAATTAAATAATTTTTGCAGATTTAAGATCGTAACAAATATAGCCGGCGCCAGTTTGTGCAGATTCAGCGAGTGCTGCAAAGTTCCCGTCCCTGAGGGGATTTAAAGTGTCTCGCTACATTTAATTTTAATTTAGAAATTTTCCAATACTTCCTTTTATATTTAAATAAGCTCTCACTGAAGCTTCGTGCGAGTTTTGTTTTTATTTTTCAACTAATTAATAGTACCGGTAAATAAATTTAGTTTAAAAACGTTACTTTATATTTTTTTTTACATTTTTTGTTTTTAACCGACTTTAAAAGGAGGTTCTTAATTCGTCTGTATGTTTTTTTGTTCAAATAATTTTAAAAGATATAGAATCGTGGCTAAAGTTAAGTTCTCTTTTCGTTCCCAACTGTTTTCACTAAGGAAAGCTATGGAATTGGAGATAGGCTTGATAGTGGGGGAGAAAAAGAAAAATGAAGTTTTAATAATACTTTCTTTCTATAATTGTTCGTTTCCCGCTTAATTTAGCTTACCTCTGGGCGTCCTCGTGTCAGGTAGGGTACACCAGAGCGGGAAGACAATGGGCGCGACCAGCAGATAGGTAAGTCGCTTGCGGAAGCCCGATGGCCACGACATGTCGAGCGGTGTCGTGTCCTCCTCCAGGTCTCCTATCTGGAACACACAATTTAGGTTAAGTAACTATAAAAGTCTAGTCATGTTTGCGTTTGGAAGATCCTCCTCGAATATTGCACGATGAATATTTGAGCAAAATTTTTTCCTGTATTACCAAGTATGCGTAAGACATTTTCCCATATAAATAGGTTATTTTAGAAGTTAAATGGAATAAAGTATGGCTGTTTTTAGACATTATTAGTTAGAATCCTTTACACGCCAGTACACCGGCACAGTGTCGGATTTTCTTCCTAACACTGTGTTTGTATACTAGAATGTTCAACTAAGATACAGAATTAAAAATAATTCCCAGTAGTAGTAGTAAAGTTCCCGGTAAAAGAAGTGTTGGTCGCAGAAAAAAGTCCTGGTTGCGCAACATCCGAGAGTGGCCAGGGGTTGCGAGTGCCGCCCAACTATTTCGCCTCGCAAGAGACAAGGGAAAATATAGAGAACTGATCCCCAACCTTCTTTAGTCGGAGAGGCGCCTCAAGAAGAAGAAGAAGAAGTAGTAAGGGTCAGAATGTTTCTTTTATCTAGATTATCTTTCAGGTTTTCATCGTCTAACGTCATTTGTGATTTAAATAAAGTAAATTTTTCCCTACAACTTAAGTAGGACATTTCATTTCCCAGTATCGCTTCCTCAAATACACTAATGCTTTAATCCCGAGCTCTTGCGAGGGAACGATGCAATTTCTTTTTTAAAATACAGTTTGTAAAGCAAACTTGAGGTCACTTCAGAATTATTTCTTAATTTTAAATGATAAATTACTTTTCATTTATTAACTTTGAACATTTTTATAAAAAAATATTCAAGAACTAAGACAAAATCGCAGGTAACAGACCTGCGATTTTGTCCGCACGGAATTAAAAAAAAACACTTAAATTTAATAATAATGAATCGACTATCTGTTCTTCTAGATTATGTTCTACATCTGTGCCAAATTTCAGCTAGCCATTTTGGTGATACCTTCTAAAAATCACCACAGATCCATCCAAATATTGTCAAATATAATATCAGTAAGATAAAAATAATATTTTGAAATAATAGTTGCTAGTATTCCTAAAAATGCAAATTCTCTGCATTATAGGTAAATATTTCAAACAAAAGAAATTGCTGTAAACGATATATTTTTCTGTCGATCATTGTTATATTATCAAAGCCATTTCTTTAGTCAATTCCAGAAAGTTTCTCTTTTAAAACAACCATAAAATTCAACCGCCGTTACGAGTGAAGTTTTTAGTGGCTTAAAATATTAGCAAAAGTAAGTTTGTAGTGCACAGCGAAACATAAAGATGCAGTTAAAATGTAAATACGTTAAACCTAACGTTGGCATACTAATGTACAAGTTGTATGGAAACAAAACAACAATATATTACGTTCTAGTCAAAGCGTAAACGATTGGATAATCGAGGTAAAGAAAATAAAGATAAAAAAGGTAAATCCAATATTTAAGTGTTAAAAATGGTTTCTTAATGAAATGATGACGTCATATTTTCATTATAAATTTAACTAGAAGAATAAACACAGAACAATTCTAAATTCTTTGAACGAATATGACACTAATTTGTTGGCAAAATTAGGAGACAAAAATCAAAATGCCGTTCGATTACTAAAAGTTGAAATAATAATCTTACTAATATTATAAATGTGAAAGTTTAGATGGATGGATGTTTGTTTTTTTTTATAATAGAATTTTTATAACGAGCAACGGGAACACCGAGGTGTTCAACGACGTCCATGGACACCAACAATACCAGAGGAACCGCAGATGCGTTGCCGGCCTTTGAGATGATGATACGCTCGCTTCTTGATACCTCCGGAACTGCTCAATAGATCTTGATGAAATTTGGTACAAATGTTGAATACAGTCTGGAAGAACACATAGGCTATTTACCAAATTTTTTTTATTCCGCGCATACGGAGTCGAGGGCGACAGCTAGTACTTGTTAAATGTAAAGTTTATTACCGTTACTATGTTTCGTTATATTTAAATTGTTTATGTTATTTTGTTTTGATGTAGATGCAGTGAAATAGAACTCCTCGGTCGTCTCTAGGCGTTTGAATCGCTTGGAATTATTTGTGACATTTGTTCAACATCTGACCCACTTTCCTTATTGAAGCGGCTATTTTCTATTTTCTCAAGAACTCCAAATGTTTGTTCGTGTCACGTTTTTTTTATATCTTATTTTTCTTTTCCTTATATAAAACATAGATCATAGCTATGATGTTATTAAATTAAATTATCTCTTTTACTTACTGATAAAATTTACTAGAATTATAAATGCGAATGTTTAGATGGATATGTGTAAGAAGTTATCTTCAGAACTGCTGAATAGCTTTAAAATATAGCCTGGACATAGACTACTAATTAAGTTTTTTTTTAATTTCATTGCAATGTAGTCTTTGGCGTCAGCCAGTATTTGATAACGAACTTGGAAACATGAAATAAATAACAAAGTTTAAACGTGAAAGTTATATTAATCACAGAAAAATACCAAACGATATTTCCATATTTTTATTCAGATAAATAAATTGTTATTGTTAAAAACATTGTAAACTATTGTAATAAATTCTGACATAAACTTGAAATGGTTCCAGTTATTTAAATTCCGAATACGTTTCAAGAATTCTATCTCATTGTGTTATTTGACAGTTTTTAAAATATTGGAACGGTCGAGTTGGCTGCGAAAAGGCTTGGAAAGAATATAAATCCAAAGCTTGGTAATATCTGTTTGAAGGAAATAAGATATATGCGTTTATCAAATGCCTTATCGTTAGCAATCCGGACGATTTCTCTTCGCTGCGGCTTTGAGACGGTCATTAATGTGGTGATAGCGTCGAGGATAGAAATATCTTACTCAGTAGATTTTTATATTAAACTAGTTGTCGCCCGCGACTCCATCCGCGTGGATATATAAGAAAAACTCAATTAGTGTAGTCTATGTGTTCTTTCAGATTATGTTTTATACGTATGAAAAATTTAATGGAGATCTGTTCAGCCGTTATAAAGATATCTTCAAACATTCATCAATCCATCCACATCACATCCATCTAAACATTCGCATTTATAATATTAGTAATTTAAATAAAAAGCAGCTCTTCAAGGAAAAAATTCGAGAAAAAGAAATGAATTAATATTATCCTATGTCCGTCTCCCAGCTCTAAGCTATCTCCTCACTAATTTTCTACCATATCGGTAAAGCCGTTTTTGAGTTATAAATAGTGTAACTAACACGAATTTCTTTATAGATACCCAAAGAAATTCAAAGGACTACAAAATTAATTACAAAAAGTGAATATAAATTCGATCTGCAAAAAGAAATGAGTAGTTATTTAATTTTAACTAAGATAATATTTTATTTAATATTCTAATATATAAAATTATCAAAATGTTAATTACCTTATTCCTCCGAAACGGCTTGACCGATTTAAAAAAAAAATTGTTTGCATACTCAGTAGTCGCAGGCGTACGGAGTCGCAGGCGACAGCTCGTAATGAATATAATAATAGCAATAATATCGAAATGGGTAAGAACTTTAACATCTTCGCACGAATTGGCCCGGCTCGCCCCGTGATATACCACGACCACACAGAAAACAGGCGCCAAGTGAGGCTATTCCGCGTTTCGTCTGATGAGTGTGCGTCCCGGAGGCCTAATTTAGTCCCCTTTCCCTTCCCATTTGTCTTATAAGGAAAGGATGGGAAGTGGAAGTGGACTTTCCGGTTGAGAGGATGCATAGAAAGGGAAAATATTTTCTTTCTGTGTATCCTCTCCTCCGTCGATCAAAGGTAGGCAACGCATATGCAATTGCGTATGTCTATGGGCAACGGTCACTTCGCTATTACAGAGATTTCAGGTGGACGCTCGCTCGTTGGCCACCTTATGATATAAAAATGTATATATAACATAATCTTAACAGAAATATTGTCTATGATTTTCATTTTATATCTAAACAATTAATGGAATATCACAAATCGTATGTCGTATTGAAATTATAGATTTAATTTGCTCGCTTTAGAACCATTATTAATTCTCATTGTGAGTGAATCTTCTCGTTTCGTTTTAATTGGATCATAAATCTCAAGTCCGGCTGCGGAACGTCGGAAGCTCCATTGACCGACTTCAAAAACTATTCCTCAATTTAATTGCAGTATTCATGTACTTTTTATGAAGTAATGGAGTGAAGCACATCGTTAATTTGAGGATAGCTGACGAGTGACGGTCATTTTGTAAACTGACGAGGAAGAAAATATGGAAGGGATAGTATTAAACATAGAATTGTCAACATTTTTTAAAACAGAGAAAAGTTGTTTGGAAGAAAATTCGACACTGTGCCGGTGTACTGGCGCAACACTAGCCTTACTAAAATGTCCACGTTTATGTCCCCTCACTAATCATTCTAACATTTGACTTTGTAATGAAAGCACGTCATTCGCGCCAAAGGATTGTTATTAATAATGTCTAAATAAAGTAAGTAAGATAAGAAACACAAGGGTTTATGGGGATTTTTATATATATTATAAGGTGGCAAACGAGCGAGCGGTCACCTGAAATCGCTGAAATAGTCAAACTACCGTTGCCTATAGACATAAGCGATTGCGTTACCTACCTTTAATCAACGGGGAAGGGGTGCATAGAAAGAGAATATTTTCTCTTCCCATGCATCCTCTCAGCCGAAACGAAGGTGCTGTTGTGTACATAATAAGAACATATTCCAGAGGTACAATCGCGTACAAAATATGAACATATTCCAAAGGTACAGTCGCGTACAAAAGATGAATTTATTACAATAGATGTTCCTGCTCCAAGTTTTTAGTCCTAATGAATTGCTCCGTACGTCTTGAGATGGGACAATAGAAATGTTCAACTTGATTTATGGACTACCAAGTTTCTTAACGATCCGTTCAAATTGATTGTCGTTATGACGAAGTTATGAATAACGTGTCTTGTAAGATATTTGAAATCATTATTAAAGTTCTAAAAACTTGAGTTAAAACTAGACGAGAAACTCTGTTTTTATCATTTTAACTTGTTACATCGGTACGAATTGAATCTAGTATTTGAAATAGCAAGATTTAACTAGAGCATAACATATACTCAAAAACTTAGTTGTACTAATCTTACTTCTTCCTTGTCACTAAAATTATAAATGCGAATGTTTGATGGATGGATGGATGTTTGCTAGAAAATATCTCCAGAACGGCTGAACGGATTTTGAAATATATTTTTTTGCTAACATCCAAAAATGTTTTTTTTTTCATTCCTTTTTTCATATATGATTTAACAAGTGAGGTCTACTTAGGCTGGTCATCTATTACATTCTAGGCAGTTCTTACCTCTTCTATAGCATCTAACTGTACATCAGCGAGCCCCCCGTTGGGGAGATCAAGAGGGGTCTCCTTCGGCTGGCTGGCGACCGCGGAGTGCCTCGCTGCTGCCGCGCCCGCGCCTCCCGCCGTCGGCCTTGTCGCTTCCAGTAGCACCTTGAGGGAAGCTATCGCGTGCAGCTGTGTGGCCTTTTCATCCACTTTACCTGTGGAAGAAATGTGAACCAAAATATATTACATTGTGTTTTATTCTACCTTTAAATGCGGGACAGCTTCAAGCATTGGTAGCTTTGGGTAAGTTGACGTATTGCGTTTTTTTGCGGTGACAGCTAACTGCGTTCTGTTGGGATAACGTTAACAGCTGTTACTGTTAGATTTTTTTGCAAGAATGCTTTGATTCTCAAAGAAGACTGCTTTTGATAAGTGAAGGCTTATGTTATTTGAAAATCTATCCCCTTAAATTGCATTTTCTATGATCCTCTTAAAATATAATAAACAAATTTATTAATAATAAAACATTAAAAAACATTAAATAATAAAACATTATTTTTCTATTAGTAAATTAGTAATATATTATAATATTATAATACAGACTAGAGAAGATATAATCTTTCAGTCTACGGTTTGTTTTCATCCCTTTTTCCACCGTAATTCCGGCGAAGCTCGTTACAGTACGTTAGGCGCTATCCTGCGAATTAAACTTTCACGATTTGCTGCGCTTGATATAATGTTAGTGGAATTCCGGCTTAAATGCAATTGCACTCACGGCGAAGTTAATTTTGTCAAAATAATTATTTTAGAAAGCCGAGCATTAATAGTCCTGTCTAGGATTAAAAGGGTTATCTTATGGATTAAGAATTTTATCAGAGGGTTTCTGACAGCAAAATCTATATATAAAATATATCGTCATCCTTGTCTTTCATATTTGACGAAACAGAGATAACAATCTTACTAATATCATAAATACTTATGTTTAGATGGATGGATAGATAGATGTTTGAAGTGAACGTCAAAACGGCTGAACGGAATTTAATGAAATTTAGCATAGTCTGGAAGAACACATAAGCTAATATTTTTTATAATTCCGCGCGGACGGAGCGGGGTGCAACAGCTAGTATGTTATAAACGGGAGATTTTGATCTCGGAAACTCACGGTTATATAATTGACGTCAATCAAGAGTTAGCATCACTAACACGCGTGTAAACAAAAAGGCTTTAACTATCAACTTTAACAAAGTCTCTAATCTCGTTATTGTATTAGAGATTTTACATAGAGATTACATGCAGCAAAAAAGTTTATAACTCGAGTACTTTATACAATTAAAAGGGTAGCAAAGATAAAATACAAGGCAAAATATTTCTTAAACCAAAATTCTCGTTTAAACCATATTGTCATCTCTTTGGTCTAAGACAATGGTTCCTAAACTTATTTTATCTACTGCCCACTATGAGAATAAATATTTTTTTTTAGCGCTCCCATATTTTAACATATTTTAAAACCACTATAACTTCAAATTAAATTAATTAATTATTGTGTCATATATATGTATATTAACGGAAAATTCTAAACGTAAGTTTTACTTATAACCCGCAACTTGAGACCTGCAGCGCCCACAAGGGGGCGTTATCGCCCACATTGGAAAAGACTGGTTTAAGATGATAGGGATGACGATGTGTAGCAGACATTCTGGCCTCGGAAACCAACTGTGTAACTTTTAGTCGATGACACAAAATTAAAAAAGATTTTTAAATTAATAATGAAAATTTGAAAAGAGAAAAAAAATTTACTTCAATTTTTATATGATTTTTTACCAACATCAATTGTTGACAATGAAATAAAATAATTATGTAGTATTATTATTATTATATTAATTTTGATATTTCCGTAGCCTATTTATACATTTCTGTGTAATTTACACTATCAATGAAACTATTGCTAAAGCGACAAAGTTCAAAGCAAGCTACAGAAGAGCTTTTAAAGCACAAAACCGCGACACAGCAAGTTGGCAGCCTCTAATCGTGGATTAAAGCCTGCCGGAGTTAAGCCCTGTATACTGGACACTTGCGAAAGCTTACGCAAAAAAAGTTTGATTGTTTTTTTAACATTTTCAACGACGTTTCAAGTTGTATTTGTTGTATAAAAATAAAAAATAAAAATATAGTTGTGAGAAGTTTTTAATCATACTAATATTATAAATCGAATGTTTAGATGGATTGATGGATGGATTAATGTTTGTTCTAAACGGCCTAACGGATTTTGATGAAATTTGGTATAGATGTAGAACATAGTCTGGAAGAACAAATAGGCTACTAATTATTTTTTTAAGTCCGCGCAGACGGAGTCGCGGGCGACCGCAATTACTTGTATAAGCTAAGTTTTAAATATATAGAAAATATGTCAGTATTTTTAGTTTATTTTGGATATAGGGTGTTATTAAAATATTGTTGACTTTCATAGATAAATTAAAAAAAGATTGTCCACTTCAAAGTTTTCTCTGAATCTCTGAATAGACACCAGAGAGTGTTGACATAAACAAGCTTTAAAACAGTAGACAATCGGCCACAAAGTTTATATTTCTATTTATATGTATTTTAAAATAAGAATAGAAATGTTCTCGCTGTTCCTATTGTAGATTCGAGTTGGGAATAAGATCCGCTATAAGTTTAAGATAAGATATTCAAAGTACGTGTATACGTAGTTTAAGTTACAGAAATATGTTTTCTTTTTAAATAAGTCGAATTTAAATTTATACATTTATAGTAATAACAATATTATTCGCTTAAATAGTGACTATAACATTGTTAAGTTTATTTTATAGCTTTACTCAATAACTAGCGATGCTTGCGGCTTTGTTAGCGCAGATTAAAAAACTTTCCCGCCAAAATCGGCCTACCCGTTCAGTAGATTACAAGGAACAAACGCGGCCTTATGGACAGACATAAAAATTATAAAAAATGTTTTTTCATTATCAGCAACGTAAATATATTATATGTACGAAACGCTTTTCCACGTCTTAAATGTATGGATGGAGGGATGGATATTTGTTAGATGATATCTCCAGAACGGCTCAAAGAATCTCTAGATCTAGATCATAGTGTGGAAGAGCATATAGGCTACTTATCAAGTTTTTTTTATTCCGCGCGGACGGAGTCACGGGAAACAGCTGGTACGCAATAAAACTTAATGTAAATATTTTTGACATACAACACAGTCAAACACATAAACAACATAATAAAAAATATAGATAAATAATATTAACCAAAAGAACATACTGTATACACGATCCGTGTTACGTATCTACCAGAAACTCTCTACAGTATGTAATTTATGTACTAATTCCCAGTGATTAGAGACATGACAAGTTAAATACGATAGACATGATCTTGCAATTAAAGTGGAACACCCTGTATCCATTTATACGATTATAGCAAACTATTGTTTAGTGTAACGAACCGAAAACACTGAGAGATTTAAACTCTAACAAATTTCTTGAGTAAGATGTATAAAAACTGTCGGAATACTTTATAATAAAAACTTAATAAGTAGTCTGTGTTTCCAGGCTATGTTATACATCTGTGTCAAGTTTCAGCAACATCCATATGCTTTTTGGACATACCTTCTAACAGACCTAAGCATTTAATCATTCGCATTTTTTAATATCATTAAAACAGGTGTAATATTATTTGTGTTTACTGACTACGTTTCATTTTATCTCGGAATTCTCGTAACTGACAAATTTCTATTACAATTTTGTTAAAACGTTCAATTTACAACGAACACAAAATTTTAATAATTTACAACTAGATACGATTTATAAGCCAAGTTAACGCAAAACTAATCTTCGATTTTATATTTTCTAAAGAAATATACATGTAATTGAATTTCAGTTTCTTGTTCGATGTGTCATGAATACAGGAACCATCTACTAAAATCGATTAACATATTAATGCATATGTTAATCGAGAAGCATACGGAGTAATCGAGAATAAATTAGTATATAGTAATTGAACATGAAACATAAAGCAATTTCTAAATGTCTATAGGCAACGATCGTTTCGATATTTCTTCGAATTAAGATAGCCTTGTTTGACACCTTATAATACAAATATAATTGTTTTTAACTTTTAAAATAAACATAACTATTAGCCTATGTGTTCTTCCAGACTATGTTCTATACGTATGCCAAATTTCATCGAGATCCGATCAGCCGTTCTAGACATACCTTCAAACAAACATCATCCATCTAAACATTCGCATTTATAATATTAGTTTTTATTTGTTAATATAAATCATTGTATATTAGGTTTATTTGCTCATATAATTAAAATTATGTGTATTTAAATGTGAAACGAAATTAAATAAAAAATGCCTCTTTGTACCCCATTTTACCCACCCAAACGGACAATGTAAGTTTTTTAAACTTATTTAAAAAGAAACGTTCTCTTCTGTATATACAATACATCTTCTTGGCTGATTTTCTTGTTGTTGAAGTTTCTGCAATCGCAAGTTTTTAGTAATAAAAAGTACCTCATTAACTATAAAAATTTAGTACTTTAAATTACTAATACCTGAGACTACTAAGATGTCTTCTCTTTATTTCATTCTTTGGTTCTTCATTTCTATAATATGTAGTTTCAATATAACTAGCGATCGCTTGCGACTTTGTCAGCGCAGTAATAAAAGCCCATAATGTCCGCACACATTAGCTTCTTTCTAGTCAAAGTCCTGTCAAAAATCGGTCCATTCCATTCCAGATATTACCCGGAACAAACGCGGCGTTACTGACGGGCACAACACTAGCCTTACTAAAATGTCGACTTGTATGGTCCCTCACTATTCATACAATTGACTTTGCATTGTAAGCGCGCCATTCGTGCCAAAGGATTATATACTTGTCTAAAAGTACAGACACTCCAATGTTATTAATATGTAGAGATATTTTATTACATTCTATTTATTCATTACAAAGTAACAAAATATTAAACTTAATTTTCCGTTTGATATTATAATTTTATCAAAAACACACAAAATATTTAACTAATTTAGTTAGTTATAAAACAACTTACATTAATAACATAGTATAAATATATTACACTAAAAAGCTTGTTAACATTTACGTTACATACAATTTAAAGTCCAAAGCTTAGTTACCTCGGGTAAGGAATTTCTAATTTGTGCTGTAACATTGAAAACAAGCAATTGTGCATATGCAAACTGACAACGCAAAGTTGAAATACCTCCACGAGTACTCCGTCATTAACTGGGACAGTGTTATATATAGTCTTATATATTATGTGCTTATTTACAAAATATATACTAGCTGTAGCCCACGACTCATTCCGTCTGATTAAAAAATAATTAGCCTATGTGTTCTTCCAGACTGTGCTTTACATGTACGCCTTTCAGCGACATCCATGCAGCTGTTCTGTAGATAACTTTTTACAAACATCCATCCATCTATCCATACATCCAAATATTATATTAACAAGAAGTAATAAGTAAGATATGATAGTAAGAAGTCATCATCGACCTGCCCTTATCCCTATCGAGGGTCGGCACAGTATGTACTACTCCTCCATACATCTCTATCAGCTGTCATATCCGAGTCTACCCCCTTCCTACGCATATCCTCTTTCACACAGTCATTCCATACTTTTTTTGGTCTTCCTCTACCTTTGAAGCCATCCACATTCAATCTCATTACTTTTTGCTTATAACATCATCCCTCCGCATAATATGTCCAAACCACTCTAATCTTTTACTCCTCAATTTCTCGATCACTGGCGATATGATAGTAAAAAGTAAGATATAACATTAATAAGATAATTAGCTGATTAATTGCTGTGAAGTAACTCAAGTTTGCAATTAATCGTTCATTTGCTGTGACCATTAGCAAAAATTAATAAAGAAATTAAATCTTATGTGAACAAGCTTTGGTGTAGAAAACGGAATTGGCAACGAACGGCTAAAGAGGCGAACGAAACGTGAATTTGCCGATCTTATTGGCAAAAAATACAGTATTCGAATAAAAGAAAATAAAATAAAAAGTACAAATAAAAAACTCACAGATTTATAAAATCATAGTAATTTCCAGAAAAGCTTATTTCTCATGATAAATGTTAACACGGTCGTAATTTGCTTGCTAGTTTGTGTATTTAAGAAATGAAGTTAAAAACTCAAATGCTTCCATAAATTTTAAATGTAAAAAGCAAACATTTCGTTATGATGCTCCTGCAAACATTCAACAATGTTTACTGTTGTACCGCAACTTAAAACGGGTGATTTAAATAACATAAAAACATCTTTTCTGTAGTATGAAAAACATGCGACAAAATATTCTTAAAGAGGGGATGTACATTTTCTTAAATTACTCTCTTGGCTCGCTTGTTTCGTTTTTAAAAGGCGAAGTGACCTACTTCAGACATTTGCAGCCTTACAGCGCTGTCGGGCGCTGCGCTCGCGATTGCGTAAATACCAAAAGGAACAAAAGACGGCCGGGATTAGTAGATCCGTGTCGTACGAACATCCCTCCACTGACAATAGCTTACAATATTAGAACTTTAACTCCAAACATTACTTAATTACTTGTTTTTATTTTAACAATTTTTAAGAGATCATAAAAGTTAGGAGATATTCGGAAACATTCAATGATAGTAATTTTAAATGTCTTCCAAAAGATGGGTTCATAATCTAGTTGGGCGGCCCTAAGGACCACCTTTTGGGTGAACAGTACACCAAGTTATGATAAGTCATAAAGTAAAGTTAGTCCCCCAAATTTGATTACATGATACTTTGGATTTATATGAACTAACTCTCGATAATTATTATTATTTTCATATTATTTAAAGATAATTTCATAAACAAAACGACCTGCGTCTCTTTCCTGTGGTCTGTCTCGTTATTTTTTAGATCTTGAAAGGTATTTTATCGACTTATATCAAAGTGTGCTTAAGCATAAGTAGTAAGTGTAAAGCGAAGCGGTGCGTACCTAACTCACCGTCGTGCATCGGGTCAATGGTATGTATCATGAGCTGCAGCAGACCATGCCGGAACTTGGCTGTGGGCGGCGGCGCTCGGCTTGTACCCGCAGCCGGCGCCGTCGCTGTATTTGTGCCCACTGACGTCTCGCTTGACGTTGTCGCGTTGCCATGCTGCAAGGAAAGTTATCGTTGAAAGCTATTACATATTTAATGACAGTAATTTTACATATATTCCAAAAGATACATCGATGATCTAGTTGAGCGGCCCTAAGGCCCACCTTTGTGCACTTAATGTCCCAAAAATCGATGGGCAGAGGGCTCTGGAATCATTCAACAGGAAATAATCTTACTAATTGATTGTAATGAGGAAGAATTCTAGATCAAGTAACGATAAGGCATAATGAACTAAGGTCCCCGAATTTGATGAAGTGGTATTTTAGTTTTAACAAATTCTCTATAAATTAATTATGAGTTATGGAAATAACAAATGCCTAACTAAAGAGTCATCATCGTCATCAGCTCACTATACGTCCCCACCGAGGGGCTCGGAGCCTACCCTAAGTTAAGGGTGATTAGGCCATGGTCAATATAACTAAAGAGTACTTGCTTCTAAATACTTAGTGAAGATTAATGCAAACAAAATTAATTTATGTTTATAAAACTCAATAAGGAAAAGCTTTAGCGATAGCCACATAATTTAATATTTCCGTTATGTTTGAACATTGAGCCGCGCGTTTGTTCAGATTAACAAAGTTAAACATCTGTTCTAAAGTTCTGTAACTGAAGCTTTGTTGGAAATGATGTGACGATAAAGTTATGTATTGACTTAGTATTTATATGTTGATTTTCATTAAATATAAAGTTATAGTCAAGTAAAAGAAAGTCGTGTTAGTTACACTATTTATATCAAGAACGGATTTACCGATATGACTGAAAATTGGTGAGGAGGTAGCTTAGACCATGGGGACGGACATAGGATACTATATTTTTTTTTCGAATTTATGCCTTTTATGTAACTTATTAATTTTATGTTTGCGAATGTTTAGATGGATGTGATATGAATGTACAATAATTAAGTTTTTTTTATATATCCACGCGGTCGGATTCGCGGGAGACAGCTAGTTACTTATATTTTAACTTTACGCTTTATAAAATGAACACATTTTTGTCAGTAAATATGATTTTGTTAAAGCTGATAACAACCGCGAATAATATACAAAAGTTAAACGTGAAAGCGATGCCACTGTCGTGTTAATTATTGCGAGGTCGCCGGAACGTCACTGGACGCTGTTGGACGCTGGGGAATATTAAGCAATCGTTTCCACTATCACACCGCATACGAAATTATAACTCTGTTAAATATGCGCAAAATTAACGGAAAATAAATGTTTTATGCAAAGAAATGTTGCTTTTAACACAATGCTTTGTTTAATGGCAGTCTTACTACGGTTTCATAAACTAACTTTTGCGTGTGTGTCGGCACGAAATAGACAAATAAACTTAATAAGTAGCCTATTTCAGGCTTTGTTCTATCAAATCATCATCAGCTCACTATACGTCCCCACCGAGGGACTCGGAGCCTACCCTAAGTTAATGTGTATTAACGTAACCCTAAGTTAGTGATGTTTAGCCCATAGTCAACCACACTGGCCAAGTGCGGGTTGGTTGACTTCACAAATATCTTTGAATTTCTTCTCAGGTATGTGCAGGTTGCATCACGATGTTTTCCTTCACCGTAAGAACCTCGGATAAATGAACAAATGTAAAACGGAAATCGAAAAACACATTGGTACATGTCGGAATTCGAACCCATGACCTACAGATTGCAAGTCAAGTACTTGAACCCTGAGCCACCAACACTCTGTATGTTCTATGCCAAATTTCAGCGAGATCCATACAGCCGTTCTGTAGATTTAGACCTTTTACCAATCATCCATCCATACACCCAAACATATATATACACTCTCTATATGTAAAGCACATAAAGATTATATAATATATATATAACCAACAACTATGTAATATAAATATAAAGCACTACAAAGTAATGTCCGGGTAGCAACAATGTTCTACATCCATTGTTGACCTCAAACTGAAGGCTCACTTACTATCAGCGGGATCTATCGACGGCTCAAGATGGCGGATAGCTGAGGAACCGCGTATCTTTAAGTGCCTGTAGTTA